TTTAAAATAAATAAAATTAAAACTATAGTATTAAAATGAATAAAATAATAAAGCTTGTAAAATAAATGAAAATATTAAACTTAGGACTAAATTATAATATTTTAAAATTAGATACCTAATTGATAAATAATTATTTAAAATTATAGTGGCTAAACATGCCATTTTACCTATTAATTAATTTAGTGACTAAATTAAATTTATATAAAACATCAGTTATTAAATGTAAAATACTAAAATTCGCAGACCTAATTCAATTTATTAAAAATATATGTATTAATAGTGTAATTTAATATTAATTAATTAATTGGGATTAAAATAAATATTATCAAAACCTAAGGGACTAAATCATATATTTACCCTAATTATGTAATTACTGTCAAGGACTAGATTATAAATAAGTAAACTTAAAATATCGAATTAAAATGATTATAATTTGATTTAAGTGACTAGAATGCAAACTTACAAAGTTAAAGGTATTGCGGAAAGGGTTAAGCCATACCCCAAAATCACAGATACATCTATCCCCAAAACAACGTCGTTCGGGGAGGGGTTTATAAACCCTTTAATCTGGCCCTAATAGGGCATAAGCCCTCATTTTTTCCTTTTGGCTTCTCTCTCTAGAGAGAGAGCTCTGCCTTCTCTCTAAAACAGAGAGGGAGACCACCGACCGACAGCCGTGCTCGGCACCGACCACTACCGTCGGCCACCGCTTACGGTGGTCAGAACTCCCAAATTACCCTAGAACGTAGGTTTTGACCTCCTAAGGCCGAATATGGCCTCTGTTTTCCTTAAATCCCCTTAGATTTTCGCAGATCTAGGAAAACCGAAGATTTTACCTCGGTTTGAAACTACGTCTCCGACAACGATCGGGCTCTCCTCGATGGTAAGTCCTTCGTTCTTGCTCTATTTTCTCTCAGTTTTTGGTCTCTGTTGTTGTTGTGTGGTTATGTTTGCTCCCGGTTCTCTGTTTTTCCTCTCTTGGTTTCGTGTTATTGTACTCTCGAATTCTTCCTCTCCCCTCCTTTTTTTAGTTGCAGGTTCGGTCAGTGGCCTTTATAGGCCCGCCGATATCTTCTTCAGACCGGTCCCAAATAGTGACCCTAGGTGAGTCACCATGGCTATGGTGGTGACTCACCATAGAGCTCGACATGTGGAGAGGCAGCTGGCCTTCTGGAGGCTTCGACGAGGGCGTTGGCAAGGCAACGGCGGCGTGGAGCAGTTGGCAACGAGCGGGGGCTGTGGCTTCTGGAAGCTTAAGGCGGCGGTTGGAGCTAGGGTTGAGATGATATAAACCCTAATCAATTTAGGGTTTCCATTAGGCTAGCTAGAGTTGGGCTCTTGTAACTGGGCCGGTCTGGGTTGGGTTTGTAATTTGGGCCAGTAATATAAATAATATTTTATTAATAATAATAATAATAATAATAATATATAATAATATAAATAATAATCAAATGAAAAAAGAGTATCTTCAGCCCCTATCCCATGAAACTAGGAAAAATTACAGAAAGATATTCACATGCATGGCTACTGGGAGGAAATTAACAAGGAAGAATACTGATTCGGCGCGTCTTAGGAGAATAAAAAAGAAGGATCCGGTGCTAGTTCATTCCAAAAATCTCAACCAACATATATATATATATATATATATATATATAATGTTGGTTGAGATTTTATGTTAAGAGAATTTATAAAATTTTAGGGGTAAAATAGATTATTAATAGAAAATTTTAAAAATTAAAATATAAAAAAATTTAAAATTTGTAGAGGAGATGATTGCCCCTCCTACCCCGTCCTGATGACGTATGTAACTCAAACTCAACGTAAATGATAGTGCCATGACCATGAGTCTTGTTCGTAGTTTACTCTTGAAGAACAAGTCAATTAAAAGGAAGAAGGAAGGAAAAAAACCCGAAGAGAACGAAATTAAAAAGAAGGAAAGATTCATTAAACATTTATGAGTTACTTGTACTCATGGACCCCGTGGTTACCATGTAACTTCTTAGCAAATTGTTTACATTTCCTTTGTGGAATTCATCAAAATATACCATTGAAATTTGCAATTTTTATAAAAAATACTATATCATATATTGAAATTTAATTATTTTGTCCGAACAACTGATCTCATTTTAAAATTAATCGGCTTATTCTCATTTGATCATCTCCCATAATGTTTGACCTATTTGGATCCAAACCAGATACAAATCAATCAATTCCCATCGCTATAAACAAGCCATTTTCCTTTGGCTCTCACCCGAAGATTACAAGGACCCTAATCTACATTTATAGTAACAACAAAAAGTTGCCCAGAAGTATGCAAAAACTGACTGAACAGAGTTGCTCAAGGTAATGTTAGTTGATGACAACTTTTTCCCATTTAAAGATTCTGCATATTTTGTGCCGCCATGAATGGTGAAGTGAGATGTATAAATCATGGAGAGTTCCATGTTTGCAAATATAAAATATACAAATGATTCACAGCAAACGACTGTTGAATGTTTAAGGTTTCTATATGAATCACCTTAGATAATATATTTTAGTGTTTATCCATCCCTTTTTGCTCAATTGAATTTACATAATTGCGAATCTTTTATGCAGGGATGATCTGATATTCCTGTCTTGTTAAACTAACAATGGCTTTCTTTAACCTTAACAATAACAACAATCTAACTAATTCCCCACCTTATTTATATTGCTTTTCTCTAGTGCAGAAGATCTTTGCAATGCGTGATTTGAAGCTATTGCTTTAGCTGCGAAAGTTGTTAAAACTCGTGAGGTTTGTTTTCTACATGCCTCAATTTCCATTTCTTCCTTTTTTCTTGCTATATCTCCTAACCACGACTTTCTCTTGGACTATTTGAAGCTTGCATTGTAGTTTATCTTTCACTACGACTGGAGGAGACAATATCCATTTTTCTTTGTTGGTTTGGGAAGGACCCTGTAGTCTAGTGTTTTCTATGGTAAAGTCTTTACTTTGATTATGTATAATGCTTAAGATTTCATCTCTATTATGGTGCATTCCCCTCATGTATTCTCTTATTCTGTCCATTACCAGAGTACCTAAATGCATACTAGAACTTCTGCATGTTTACTACTTGTGTGATTTTCAAAAATTCAACTCAACTATTATTTAAAGCTCCATTGATTGTTGTGCTCTGGCATTGGATAATCCAATTTTTGCCATACCCCAAAGTTGCTTAAACAAGACTACTTTAAGTTATCGTAATCTTCCCTTCTTAGCAATATTTATCATCATTGAGTAATTCTTTTCTTCTTTTTTTCAGCATGATTTGTTCTGCCGGTGAAGAGTGAAGACAGTTTCATCATTTTTGACAATAGGTATTTTCTTTTCCTGAAAATTTATTGTTTGGTTCGAGTTAGGATTTACTACCGGAAAAAAGTTAGATGAACTGAAGCCTTTTGGGATTACTTATATTGTACCAGACTATGGGCCAATGGGCATTCCATTAGGAGACAATGGAGGGTCAAATGACCTTTCACTGTCTTCCATAAAAGACACCATATTTGTTTCCTGTGGGGTCTTCTCTTGGACCATTGCCCCCTGAATTAGCACCTTCCGTGGGATGTACAGAGTGTTGGATTAGAGTCCTTACAATATCTATACAAAAGGGATAACTCTTCTTTATCTTTACAAACATTATTATCTTGAAAAAGGAAACCCATTGTTTTGTTCAGTCCACACCATACAAGACGAGACGGGACTCACTAAAGAACCATGGCCAGGCAACGTAACTTTAGGAATGCATGGTGCATAACTGAAGAAAGCTACCGTACATCAAACACCAGTCCATCTCATCTATAATATCAAATTTGGCTAGAGGAGATGAAGCCATTACCCATCTAACTTTAGCTTATCACAATGGGGTATCTAAATATAATAATTTGATATTTTTATTGATTAATAACCTACTCATATAATTGGTGTACCTTCTCTATAGATCGTACCTCTATTGTCATTCTTTCGTATATCGAAGTCTTTGGAGTTTCTAAAAGTCTCCGATGTTCCATATTCTCCAGACAACTACAGTTCCTTTACATGACTACTGATAGATCCACATGATCTGTTAGAGTTAAATCTACTATTTGAGAGACAAATTTATTTAGTTTGTCAAAATATAAATAATCATGATGATCTTAGGTCTATCATCAACACTAACTGTTAATATATAAGTTATTATGTAAAGCTAAAGAAAGAGAGAGACTCTCCATCTCTAGCACTTTTCATTAATTTATTTAACACATTTACTCCTTGTCTTCTTTACAAAACCTTCCACCATAAATCTCCACCCAAATTAAAAGGATGAATACTAAAGCTGCCATAACCTCACTTTTACAATAACAATAACCTTCTCTTTCTGTCTTTGCTATTTATGACCTGAATTGCATTTCAATCATGGACCATTCTAGGTTATATGTCATCTTCATTCTCGCCTTATAAGTCATTTTTTATTGAATTTTTCTTTTGTTTCTTACCAATCTTAAGTAGAAGCTCAACCATGTATTGCTCAAGAAAATCATGGTTCAATCCCTATTTTCCCTCACAAGTTCCAATCAAAGATCATGAAATAGATTTGCTCAAGACAAAGTGAAGATTCTCCTTTTAAGTACGAGTCCCAAAGTTTGATTTTGCTGCATCCTTTAAGACACACCCGAGTGATCATAATGCAATTGCCATGCTCATCAAACCCAAACACTTGCCCTAGGGTGTATCTTCTAAGTTCATCCAGCAAAAGGTTCTTGAAATAAAATCTTATAATAAACAATATAAAAAAGCCACGTTTTGCGTCTCGATTTGCGATGTCTTGCACGTGTGTATTGGCTTTATGTATACACTCCCACGCATGCAGGATGCAACCATCGTCCCCCACAAAATGAACAGTAGGCAACAGCCACTCCAAAAGGCCAACTCCCACTATAAAAAGCCCAATTATATCATTAGACGGTCTAATCGATTATTGGTACAACTATATTTTAAGGCTACTCCTTCCCACTACTCTCAAATCAATCATTTGAAGCCCTTTCCCTCTCTGTACAATCTCTCACCACTTCCATCCCTTTGCAACAGAATTAAGCATACCATGTCTGTAACAGGAGTTTCAGACCCTGATAGAATGTTGAAGAAGTCGCTCCATCGAAGGAACGACGCCGGTGAGGTCGATGTGTTTGAAGCTGCACAGTATCTCTCGGGGTACAATGACACGGTTAGCTATAATTGTGCAACATTCTCTCAGAAGATGATGGGCAGGGTCAGCTTGGATGTGCCAATGACTATGAGTAACACTTTTCCTCAATTTGCTCATTTGGTGGAAAAGCAAATTAAGGATAAGAAATACAAGCAACCGAGCTTCCCTGGTGGGAGATTTGCTACCTTCTTAAACTCTCTTTTCAATCAAAGAGGTTCGAAGAAGAAGAAATCGAAATCGACCACGCAGTCCAAGAAAGATGAAGAAGAGAGCCCTGGAGGAAGGAGGAGGAGCAGTATTAGCCATTTTCGGAGCTCAAGTACGGCCGACACCAAGTCGTTTTATTCTTCGTCGAGCTCCGGTTTCAGGACACCACCTTCCTATGCCCATACTCCTAGCTACAAGGAAGTTAGAAGCTATTTGGATCGTAAACAGGTTGGACCAACAAAACGAACAGCATTACATAATGCTGTCATTGGTGAAGGAAAGAATACAAAAACAACAGACTACTCTTGGTTGGATGAGAAATTGAAGTTCAATAATGGCTACTCAGAGAATCACAAGAATACTGGTGGTGTTCGTCATCAGAAGGGTCCAAATTACAGAGATCGTTATCCATTGGACGAGAAAGAAATTATGAAGTTCAACGAGACCGATGATGGTGCAGATAGTGATTCAAGCTCCGACCTGTTCGAGTTGAACTATGATTTAAGCATTTACTCAAGTGGTTTGCCCGTGTATGAAACTACACATATGGACACCATCAAGAGGGGTGCACCAATTGCCAATGATTAGTGATTTTCCACTAAATTAAGGGAGAAACATCAATAAAAGATTCTTTTGACTTTTTGGACAAGAAACAGTAAACAATTTAGTACATTAATTAATATATTTTCTACCTGTACGTGTGATTTATGTAACCTTTAGCTTTTCTCTACAATTTTTCATGGAAAAGAAGCATTTACATACAAGAAGTTGATTCAGTTTTTGCATGTTTGATGATTAAGCCACCTCATCCAAAATCTTTCTGAAAATATGATACCCCCCCCCCCCCCCCAATCCTCAAGATTTGATCCGGCAGGAACAAAGTTAGTGCCCTATATCTTAAAATTCTTGTCAGTCTCTGCCTCCACTATTTTATGTTTACTAGTGAAAGCATACAGAGAAATGCCTAAACTACACTTTGTACAATAAGGATTGTCATTTCCGGTTTTCCACCTTCAGACCATCTGATATTGTTGCAGCTTGACGGGCCGGGTCATGACATATTAGCCGGTGTAGCTAGGGACGGACGTAAGAGGTTATGTTTGGGGACGAATTTATAATATTTTATGAGAAGATGAACTTATAAAATTTTAGGTGACGAAAACAATTATAATAAAAATATAAACAAAATTCTTAAACATATGTGAATTTAAAAATTTTAGAAAGCAATCGTCCCTACCGCTTACCTCAATCACAGGCTGCAGTTAAACAATTAAAATCAACAAAGAAGTTGATTGCTTGAGCATCATGGAAAACAAGAAGAGAAATGGTTTTAAACAGATCAAACGATGGATGGGCTCAGTATCTCTATGCGAGTACATGCATATAAAGTTAAAAAAGTGGGGTTTACATATAATTATTTGGCCCTCTCTTCTGATTGGATCAAAATAAAGCCTAAAGCTAAAACGATCATGAAAACTATGATAGACTTTGGAACAAATGATGTATGCCGAGCACACCATCATGTTGATATACGCACACATCAATGATGCATGGGGCACCAAATGGGTCCAGCAGTGCATATAGCATCCGCATGGATGGTCGATGGAGCCTAGATGGGACACAAACTCTTAATTTTCAAAGTAAATGTGGTTATCAACTTTAATAAGAGAACCCTAATCAATCATGATTTATCATATGGATGTAATTTACACCAATGGACTTTTGAGGTTGGTGGATATAACTTCTGCCGTGCGGCGCCTAAAAAACGGCTACAAAATGGTGTGATCGGTTAAAATTTAGACCGATTATGTTATATCATTTAACCGGAAATATTATCATGTACAATAACATATTAAATAACGCTTATATAATGTAATATGTAGCATTTATATTGACCTATTTTCTTAGTAAACCGGTATATTTATACCGGTAACATTGCAAATTTACCTATTACATTATAATTATCGGTTTCGATTTTTTTTGGATCGATACAATTTTAAATGTATCGACACTTTATGCATGCACCTCGTTAGGCATTCATTCTGGAAAAAAGTATCGACACAAACTTAAAAAGTGTCGATACATTATTTAGACCTATTTTTTCATAAAACCAGTATATTTCTATCGGGTATATTGTAAATTTACCTATCACATTGTAATTATCGGTTTCGATGTTTATGGGATCGATACTTTTAGTAAATGTATCGACACTTTATGCGTGCACCCCGTTTGGTATTCATTATAGACAAAAAGTATCGACACAAATTTAAATGGTGTTGGTATTTTATACTGACATATTTTCTTATAAAACCAGTATATTTATACCAGATACATTGTAAATTTACCTATTACATTATAATTATCAGTTTCGATGTTATTGGGATCGATACTTTTAATAAATGTATCGACAGTTTATATTATGGACAATAAGTGTCGACACAAATTAAAAAAGTGTTGATACATTATGTTGATATGTTTTCTAATTAACTGATATATTTATACCTGTTACATTGTTAATTTACCTATTACATTATAATTATTGGTTTCGATGTTTCTGGGGTCAATACTTTTAGAAAATGTATCGACACCTATTTAGCTAGTTATTGTACATACCTAAATATATCATGCGAATTTAATGTTGTATTCACCCTTCAACTACCACTACCAATACCACATCCTATTGAAAGTACGACTAAAACATGTTCAATGAACCTTTACTTACATTTCCATCAACTCCGAGACCACTGAACTTGCACAACAAAATTTTTACCATGGATCATACTGATGCAGACAATGTTAAGCCAATCGAGGAATGTCATGAAGTACATAATGTTGATGAATCTGACAGATTGGTTGATCAGCTCTTCTCTTCACGTGATCAAGCTTGGTGTCGATACAACTACAAAAGTGTTGATACTTTTATATCAGATGTCGATACTTTCGATAGTATAATTACCTATTTCTTTGAAAGTATCGATAATTTATTACGCGTACTTATTAAAGTATCAACACTTTAAATATATCCGGTAGCATTTTACCGGTTTTGTCATATTTTTACCTGCTATATCGTTGTGGACCGATACATTATTATAAAGTATCAACACTTTATAGGCGCTAAAATTACATCTCTTTTAAATTCACAAAGTGTAGATACTTATATTAAAGTATCGACACTTTAAATATATCCGGTCGCTCTATACCGGTTTTGTTATTTAGAGACCGATTTTGTCATATTTTTACCTATTATATCGTTTTGGATCGATACATTGCTATAAAGTATCAACACTTTATGGGCGCTAAAACTGCTTCTCTTTTAAATTCACAAAGTGTCGATACTTATTAAAGTATCGACACTTTCAATATATCCGGTCGCTTTATACCGGTTTTATCCTTTAGAGACCGATTTTTTCATATTTTTATCTGTATTATCGTTTTGGATCGATACATTGTTATAAAGTATCGACACTTTATGAGCACTAAAACTGCTTCTCTTTTAAATTCACAAAGTGTCGATACTTATATTAAAGTATCGACACTTTCAATATATCCGGTCGCTCTATACCGGTTTTGTCCTTTAGAGACCGGTTTTGTCATACCTGTTATATCGTTGTGGATCGATATATTGTTATAAAGTATCGACACTTTATGGACGCTAAAACTGCTTCTCTTTTAAATTCACAAAGTGTCGATACTTATATTAAAGTATCTACACTTTCAATATATCCAATACCGTTTTACCGGTTTTGTCTTTTCGTGATTGGTTTTGTCATATTTTTATCTGTTATATTGATGTGGATCAATACAGTGTTATAAAGTATCGATATAAACCGCCAAGTTAAGTTTTTCGGTTGCCAAATTTTTTAATATTTCTTCATGATTTAGACCTACTATATTATTATTACTCAACATTTTCATTTTCGGTAACGCTAAACCAAATTTATTAAATATCTTTTAATGTATCCGATAATATCGTATATTAACCATATATTAGCATGTATTTCCTGAGACAATACCTGGTCTGGAAAATAGAGAAAAAATTGAAGTTCATAATAAGAAAATGACAAGCTAGGATGCTCCTTCAGACGCTAGCTATACGGACATAGGGTCCTTCAAAGAAAGGGTTTACGCGTAAATTTGTCATTAAGTTATACGTGAATATTACAGTTTGCCACTCAACTTTGAACTTTTATTTAAATTAAGTTATATAATTCAATATTAATTTTGATGATTTGAAAATAAAATTTAAGAAAAAAAGTTCTTTCAAATATTTTATTGGGTGAACTACACGGATGCTTACTTATATTTGTGTTTTGTCTATTTTTTGTCATTAATTTAAACAAACTAAGATATTGTCACTTTTATTTTTATTTAATTAAAATATGATTACTTTCGTTTTTGTTTAATTAAGATGTGGCCATCAGGGTTAACTGTTGTTAAAAATTAATAGAATACTTGACGTGATAGTTGGTATAATCACACATTTGGTTCATGTTATTTATATATTCTCTCAATTTAGTCATACTTTTAAATAAATTTTAACATAAAAGTATCATTAAAATAAAAAAATATATATGTTTAGTGGTATTTAGGTCCTCAAACTTTTGGGGGGAAAATAGTGTAGCCCTTGGACTTTTTTGCACTCAATGCAACACTTAAACTTAGGGGGGAAATCAATTTAATTCTTTGACTAACAAAATCAAACGTTGGAACTTACATGATAGTTCACAAAGCTTACATAACAATCTATATAACATTAATGTGATAGTTCATGATGTTGTTGTGGTAGTATATGATGGGCAATGTTGTGGTAGAATAGCTTAATTGACCATGAAGGTGCGCATGTTTAGATCACCTTTCCTCGCTAACTTCAGCTTGTAATGGAGGTTCTTTATCGTGGTAGGTTGACTTGTTCACGAAATACTCGGTGGTCTTGGTCCAGATCTTCGTCGATGTTTCTGCTTCGACGAGGTAAGGAAGGACCGATGGACGTGTAGTATCTTGTGCAATAAAAACCTTATATTCACCATTGTCCACAACTGATCCATCATCAAGAACTATCGTAGCATTCGGTGGTTGGATATTGTTGGTGAGAAGTTTCCTCAGCTAGTGACTACGTACCGTGAGAAGAATTTACTACTTCCACAGTAAATAGTTAAACTCATCAAGAGTGACACTTACCTTCTTATTTGTGAACATGCTATCATTGTTGAGCCAAGCCAATCGTGATCGTCAGAATTACAACTGAAGCAACTACCCAACTAACCAATCTCCTAACTAATTGCTAACATCATCTATATGCTAACATATTTGTTGAGAAAAAGATTAAATTTAAGAAAACGTAACTAATAAATTTCCATTCCATGACGTTTTATTTTATTTTTCATCACATAATAAGCAAACAATTGTGGCGTTTCAATTGATAAACGTTCTTTTTATAAAAATATGGAACATAACATTTTCTATGATGTTTTTGATTCTTGGTGATGCTTAAAACTGTTATCAATAAGATTAAATTATGACGTTTTCAAAAGGTCACAAGGACAGTTAAGGCTAATTTGATATAGCTTTCGAAAAATAACTTTTAAAAG